GTCTGGAATCATACCCACACTCATACTCAAGATATTGTTCTAAATATTAAGTCAACTAAAGCATTTATTACTGTTATTTTACCACACTAGTAAAAAATACTTTGCAGCCAAGCGGTAGCAAGCAAACTTTTCTTTTTATATTTTCTGTATAAAGTATGGATTTAGTTCTGATCATAAAAGTTAACCGTTTACAAAAAATGCAATTAGTTTATTTCTGATGAGACGCGCTGGATGCACTGCTTGATTGAAATCACATAATAGTGTGTAGATGGCAATATTTCACAATAGATATTAGCAGCTCTACGATAATAGCTCAGTGCATCTTTCAACTCTTTCTTATCTTCATAAACGTTACCCATGATTTCAATGGCCCATGCAATTTTGTAATGTTTTGGAGGTAACGATTTCTGGAAAATTCCCAGAGCAAGATTTGCATGTTTCAATGCTTCATTATAATTTTGAAGACCTCGATATGCGTCGGCCATTGAGCTGTGTGACACACCAATTTCAGAGTGATATGCAGTGAAATACTTCTTATTGATGGCTAATGCTTTTTTAAAACAGTCCATTGCATTTGAATAGCTCTTCATGCGCAAGAAGACATATCCAATACTATTTATACATGTTGATATCTCTGGACGTTCAATGCCATAGGCTTGCTGAAGGATCTTTAATGCCTTCTCGAACCATTTCTGTGCTTCTAAAAACTCACGTTTTTTTCTATAAATTACACCAATGCTATTGTAACTATCTGATAGTTTAGGATCATCTGATTTCAAAATTTTTCGCTTGATTTCAAGCGATTTAAGGTGCCAGGCCAGACTGGAATCCAAATGATATGTATTAGTATCCAGATTACCTAGTAAATAGTAACAACGAGCGATGTCTGAATGATCCTTCGTCTGTTCATCGAGAAAACGAAAAAGATACTTTTCTGCACTATCATATTCGTTCATGTTTAAGAGTATATTACCCAATGAAAGTAGACTTGTCTCCGAACCACTTTCTATATGATCTTTCTTCATTTCATCAATAACTGACTTCAAATCGTTATCATTTTCACTGCATAATTTCAATTGAATTAGCCATACTTGTTCATTATCTTGCTGAATATCGATTACTCGAAAAATTGACCCTAACATAAAGAGTGTTTCTTCTTCTTCTGGAAAAGCACTAAAGGGACGAATGTTAGCAAATGGCTTGATGCCTGCGACAGGATCAGCTGTAATTTCGAATAAGACTCTTTCAATACTATTTGAAGCGGAGGATTGATTGAGAAATTGAAGTGCTAAATGTTTATGAACACTTGTCGAAAGAAAGGAATTTATGGATATCAATTGCCCGGTAGAATCTTGCAATACTTGTAATTCATCGTTTGACATCAATTGACCTCGATAGAGACGAACACGAGACGTACATTGATTATCTTTGAGTTGCTGTTGAAGATCACAGATAAAGAATCGAAAAAGAAAGAGAATATCAATATTTTGTACTCGAAGTGCTTTGTTCAGTAATCGATAAACAAACGAATTTCTGGTATACCACCACAGAGCATGATCGGGCGAATAATCCTGCTGAAACTCCCGAAGAATTTCTAGTTCAGCTTTGTTTCCTTCATATTCTTCTTTACAGACAGTAAGTAGTTCGTTTTTTGCTGCTGATGTTGATTTAATTCGAAGTAAACAATCGATCAGTAATTGTGAATGAACGAACTGGCCATTCAAACCAGTAGTCGATTGATCCTGAGTGGTGCCTGCAGTGAAAGTGCTGATCGGAAGTGCTTCATCAACTTTATTGTGGGTTCGTTTCGTTTGATCCGTTGTAATTTGACTGACAAGGTCATTCAACGTTACAAATACACCTCTAACCTGATGAAGATTATAGCAATCAGTTTCACTCGAATGTTTAACACAAACAAGTTCTCAAAAGTTATAGGGTAGTCAAAAAAAGCAAATCATGATATATTTTTAATATGATCATTCCTGCCTATTTAAAATTCGTTTGTTCTCTTTTGTAAGTACATCCAGGAGCTGTCTCAACCCATTCATTTACTAAGATTTCGACGAAATTCAGACACAGTTTAGACGCGGTTTCCTTCAAAAATGCTTACATGGCTTGGACGGATACAGTGTCACCAGTAGTTTTATTAGCAGTTCATGTTTTTGAAAATCCTCCAAAGGACCCCGCCGGATAAAAACAAAATTCTAGAATCGATTTCATTTGTATACAGTATTGTAGAGCTTGTTGAGATACATCAAATGGTATATAGGAAGTCAAGTTTTCATAACGGTTTTATGTAGTTACAGTCGATATACTATCTATACTGGCATAGGGATTTGTATGGTACTAATAGAAAATGTACACTCCTATGATCATCTCTAATG